CCATCTTTTCTTACGCTTTAATCCCTATTTTTTTTCCATTTAAGCAATCATTTTATAGTCAGTTTTAAAACAATAAAAAGAAAGTACATTTTTGTAACGTTTACTACGCATTTTGTTCCGCTTTATCTGAATAAAAAAATCGACAAAATTCTGAAGAGGAATCTAAGTAATTCGCTTATTTTGGACAATAAATTTAAAAGAACTCTTCATTCATTTTCTTCTATACATAAATAAAAAATATTACTGTAGTGTGAAGTTGCAAAAATTTCTCATTTTCACACTAATTTCTCCGAGTGCCGCCTTGTTGCTTGATATGGATGATGTAGAAATTGATAAATCATTAATATTAATTATAATTGTAGGAAATACCCAGGAAATAATTATAATTGTAGGAAATACCCGAGCGTAATAATAGCTTACGAGAGAGTAGCCTAAAAAGGCGGAATATCTGTTATCTCTCTCTCTAAGACAGTAGAACTTAAATACCGCTCTTCCTCATTAGCATTCACACGTGATTCTAAAACTACGTTCTGGCCGGAAGTGGTAAGTTGAAATTAAGAATCGATAGGAAAGGAATTTTAACTCAAAATTTAACTGTTAATAAAATTAACATAATCCTTACAATGCATATATATTGGATATTTTTCATGTATAACTTTACAGAATTAAATTTATCATGTAAATGTATATGTTCTAAAGTAACGAATCACTGGTTTACCCGCATCACCTGAAGCAGCTGTACTGCTTTGATAAATCTGTTGAGTTTCCCTTATTTTGTACAAAAATTTATTTTAAGTTGATACTTTTTCTGAACTCCTCAACTTCCAATCCCATTTTCTCGCCAGGATGTAAATTTAAAGTGAAATGATGTGAGTATTTAAAGTGGGTGAATCTCTGAGTTTATTCGCAGCGTGTTTTCGCTAGCCAGCGCACGTTTCGTTGCTATCTCGCTGTTTGCTATCGATAATAGTTCGATCTAACTCTTTATTCCATAACCTAAAAGCAAGAAATTTTTATGCGCTAACACTTCGATGATTTTATAACTATGTCTTATCATAAATATGCTATCAACTGTATGAAAGTCATCGACTATTCGCCAAACTAAAGACCTTTACATGAGCGTCCTAGCATCTTGATAAAGGTTGCCTTCTTCATTATATGTGCTGAAATTCATAAGGGTGACTCGTGCCTTTGTGTATTTATATTGGGCACACAAAGTGACATTTATATTGGGCACACAAAGTGACATTTATATTGGACACACAAAGTGACATTTATATTGGGCACACAAAGTGACATTTATATTGGGCACACAAAGTGACTTCATGAGCAATATTAACTGGCAAAAACCTACCCATACAGTTTTCACATTGATCACTTCGGTCAGACCAGCCCCATCCTTCCCATTACAAAGTAATAATCTCTACATATAATAAAAGAAAGAGTCTGTGTGTCTTTTGCTCGTGCTGCGTGTAAGCTAATAGACCCAGGGCTACGAAACTTTGTATATAGGTGCATATAAACAAGAGCCAGTGCACCTCGAAGCGATTTTTTTCAAAATTCGAATTAGATTTTTTTTATTTTATCTTTTCGATTTTATCGCATCATTTTAATAGTTTTATTCTTTTAAAAAATGTGGTTCGGGCAACAGTTTTCATTCAATTGCATACTGGACTAATCTGATGTGTACATCACATGAATTCCTTGTACGGAATATTAATTATATGCATTCTTTTCTTTTCATTTAAACTTATTAGAGTAAATTAAACCTACTTCGTCGATAGCGCATAAACCATAGAAGAATAAATGCACTCTTTAAAATTCACTATATTTATTTACCATAGCGACACTCTGGCGCTTGTTTCATTTAACAGCGTTACAGTTCGTTCATATTATAACTCAGAATGCACAAAATTTATATCATTTGAAGACTTATCATTGAAGAATACTGTAATAAATCAAAAACGATGTATAAAAGAAATTAAGCAAACAAAAAAGAAACAGTTTTTCACATACGATTCAGTATTTCTCCTTCAATTAATTCTGTTCTCACTTCCCAACAAGGCAAAAACGCCTAAAATCTCAAAATATCTTTATAAAAAATTGCGAGGTAAATCTGAAATACATTTTTTCCTCTTTTTTACCTTCATTTTACCTTTCTTTTTGTATGTTTTAATTCATTATTGATATCACCAAAATAGTTGCAGCGAAATATTTTCAAAAATTACTTCAACCTAGTTGTTCTAAACTGAAATTATATTAGAAGAAAATTATGAAGAATTGTAAAATGAATTAGGGATTTTTGAAATAGTATAGGGTAGGCCTTATGGGCCTGAGAATACCCAGACGTGATTAGAACAGGCCTATTACACTGTAGGATTCTCCACTATGTACTTTTAACTTACAAATGAAAGTGAAGAATCTTAAGAACTGATAAGCGAATAATCGCTTGAGTTCGTGTGACAGGAAACAACAAAAGAGAAGGTTAAAATAACCCTTTATTATTTCAAACTAAAGTTTAACAGAACTCCGTCTTGGATTTATACAATAAAGCCGACACTTATGATTGAACTTAAGAGACTAAGAATCAAACTAAACTAATCTTATCTAAAGAGATATAGCCGAAGCTATCAAAATTCTAACATAGTTGGATCCTTAACGCTAATTGACTGCGAAGCTATCAAGGGCCTAAAGTAGGGCCGAGCGTAATAATAGCTTACGAGAGAGTAGCCTAAAAAGACGGAATATCTGTTATCTCTCTCCCTAAGACAGTAGAACTTTGCTGTTAAATACCGCTCTTCCTCGTTAGCCTTCAGACGTGATTCTAAAACTACGTTCTGGCCGGAAGTGGTAAGTTGAAATTAAGAATCGATAGGAAAGGCATTTTAACTCAAAATTTAACTGTTAATAAAATTAACATAATCCTTACAATGCATATATATTGGATATTTTTCATGTATAACTTTACAGAATTAAATTTATCATGTAAATGTATATGTTCTAAAGTAACGAATCACTGGTTTACCCGCATCACCTGAAGCAGCTGTACTGCTTTGATGAATCTGTTGGGTTTCCCTTATTTTGTACAAAAAAATTTATTTTAAGTTGATACCTTTTCTGAACTCCTCAACTTCCAATCCCATTTTCTCGCCAGGATGTAAATTTAAAGTGAAATGATGTGAGTATTTAAAGTGGGTGAATCTCTGAGTTTATTCGCAGCGTGTTTTCGCTAGCCAGCGCACGTTTCGTTGCTATCTCGCTGTTACGCTAGTACGCCTCTTGGCCATTTCGGATCATCGTCAAGCCTGTTGGGTTTTTGTTGAGCCAACCTGTCAGACGTAACTTAACGTGCTACTCCAGCACTATTCTATGTTAGTTTTGAATTGATTTATATTTCTACGTTTAAGTTTCACCCTTCTTCTGCTCTGGTAATTCATTTACGCCTTTGCGAAAATTCGCCAGGTTCATTGTAAGATCTGGTTAGCTTATGTGGAGTACAGGAGGTATATCTTACAAGTCAAGATGAAATCTTTATCAATTATAAGACGTAAAAAGGAGTTATTAATAATTTGGGAACCGCTATTCTATGTCAATGGTATAAACCTTTGGAGATTCATTATACTTAACAATATGTGTTGAATCATCACTCATACCCTTTGTTGCAAAATGGATTAGCACAGTGATTCTGAACCATTTTTGTCCCATGCAACCTTTTCACCATTGTTAGATCACTATTCTCTTCTTTCCAAAACTCGACAAACTTCCTTCACAAGTGTATATACATTTATTTAAATATAGTGTTTAAATACATTCTTTTTAATTTTAATGTGTTTAATAAATTAAACAAGAAGAAAAGTATGCAAAATGTTGATATATAGCAAAACCCCAAGAAAATCGGAGGTAATTTTTTACAAGGAATGAATATATTCATAATGTATAGAAAGATGGTTTACTTCTATGCAAATTACGAGAACCTCGGATACTATGAAATATCGTAGAAGTAATTCGAAATAGTATATTTGATATCAATTGTATTCAAAACGGAGAATGTGCCTGCAATTCTGTATATGCTGATGGTATATGAAAGCTACTTTCCGTAATTTTCTGATTTTCTTCTAATATAATAATAATATATATGTATATAATCCGCATAACTATACCCAACTTACAAGCGTTGCAATAAATGCCGTGAAGATTAATTTTTGTCTATGTTGGAGATTAAAAATGTGACGAGTTACCCTATTTGCAGTATGTCTGGCGTATTGCAACTAAGTGGAATGCAGTATTCAGTACTACTGAAAATCGCCACAATTACCAGTTCTATCCTGTGTTCATGAGCATAATGCTCGATCTACCGCTCATCGAGTAGTCTGAAATCTGATTTTAGGATCACTGCTTGTTAACATTTTATGATAACATAATTTATATGAACTAGAAGAAATTCAGATGAATTTCTGACACGGAGATCCTTTTAATTTATTCTGTGATCTACTCTGTTATTATTTACCTCTTCATAGCACAGTATAACTTTATAAGGAGTGATCTAGGAGGGTTCATCCAGTTCTGAATTCTTTGCCTTTTTATAATGCTTGTCTCAGTGTATGATTCTAATCACTTACTTTTCGTTATAAGTATTCAGCCATGCGTACTTTGTAGAGTGATTAGATTATTTTGAAGCAGGAGGTGTGAGAAATGTGCAATGCCCTTCCAGGGACTTGAACCTTGACCTCTCGAATACGTGCCGAGTGTGCTACCGTTACACCACGAAAGCGTGCTGGAAGGAGGGAGAAAATACTTTATAACTTATTTTAATCTGTTAGTTAACATATTCATTGGTATTGTAAATTCCATATGTAAACAGTACAAGCGTTTGAATTTGTAAAGTTGTTTCGTATTGGGTAAGATTCTAAAATTCTCTTATGTATGTCGTTCATAGACTATTGTAATAATTTTATAAACTGCCACATTACAAAAGCTCAATATTTATATTTTATTTTTAGGGATTACTACTTTACCTCAGTGCAATGGATTGATACTCATAGTGTAGCTGTGATTTGGATGGCGAGATCACAGAATTACTCCGTAGTCACCCAGTGTACTGGTTCACTTTGGTACTGCCAAGTGGTAAGAATTCAAATATGACTTTTCTAATCTGCACATAAATTAACTATAAATTGAGATAGGAAGTCTTTGCTTTATTATTTTTTGTTTCCAGTGCTGAAAGAATTCTTATTTCATTTCTGTTGGAATTCAGCACCTAATCTTTCTTAGGAAGATCTAGATATAACCAATACCGAAAATTCTGTACTGATTATGTTAAGAACAATAAAATTAGTTAAATTATTTTTACTCCGTAAATAGCAATGCAAACTAAAAAGGCTGGCGAAGTATCCCAACAACCGGGAAACCAGAAGTAGAATCAAAGTCTTCGCTTAAAGTAGATTTTAAAAAAAGTTCGCTAAAAAAGGTTTGCAAGAAACTAGAAACTCTACCTCAATTGTTATTAAAATAAAATGCGAGGTGTGACACAAAAAAAGAGACTAAAAACACAGTGGAGTTGGCAACAACTGTTCTGTTGACGTCATGTCACACACCTTCTCTATCCATGCGGCCAGTTTCGACTTAACCGACCACGCCAGTGAGGAGTACTGCGTCATTGAGTGAACACGTGCAACTCCATTCTGTCGAAAAAATGGTGTAAAATCCGAACAGCGAATCAACATCAAGTTTCTTGTGAAATTTAAGAAATCAGCCACGGAGTAAACATTTCAAATGTTAACCGAGGCTTATGGCTTATTAACTTTGTCTCATGCACGTGTGTTCGAATGCAATAACCGGTTTTCAGAGGGAATGGACAGTGTGGAAGATGATGTATGTGCTGGGAGCCCCACGTTCATTATGAATGAATGGTTCTCAGTGGTCAGACCGCTAATCAACACTACTACAATGAAGTACTAAAAAGACTTTGTGAAAAAATTAGGAAACAAAGACCGTAGCTGTGGAGTGACGGATGTCTGTTGTACCACGACAATGCACCCGCTTACACGGCCCTATCTGTCAAACAGTTTCTGACCAGCAAAAACATTACTGTGATGAGGCATCCTCCTTATTCCCCTGATTTGGTTCCATACGACTTTTTTTATTTCTTTAGTTAAATCTTAATTAAAGGTTGTAGTGGTGTGCACTACTAGGAGGCGTTGTAATGTGACAATCTAACCAAATACCTATCTAGAAATCCTTAAATTTAAATTTGCATGTGCCCAATATTTACTGGCTTGAATTCTTAGTGGTAGTACATTGCAAATTAAACCCTAGTGACAAGAATAATTAAATATTTCACTTACCCAATAACCCACATGCGTGAGACTTACGGAGACCAATTTCTTTTTCTAATCTCACGTTTATTTTATCAAACACATTTTCTGGATTAAATATGGAACATTTATCACACACATATAAAATATAAAATTATCTTAACTTAGAACACAAAACGTGATAAATTAAAATGGAATAGTGGGCTAATGCCGAAACGTGACTATTCGGAAATAAATTACAATTCGGTCTCATCGAACATATATGCAGTCACAATTTTCTCACATTAATTTCGTGCAGTGACCATAATATTTTTGTACATGTGCAAGATCTTTTTTTCACTTTCACATTCTTTAACACACTTAAAATAATCACGTGGTCACACATCGCTGGTAATGCACATTCCGGAGTCGAACACCTATAGATAATCTGCTTGAGATGTTTTAGAACGGTATCGTGGCAGATGGATTTTAACACTGAGCATTTTCATCTAAATAAATCGCAACCTTTAGTTCTGCTTCTTTTTATGCAAAAATACGACGACATTCCATGTGAATATATCAGGAACGATGAAACTCCATTAGCGCGACATGCAGGAACACAAAACCGCACAACGTGGGGCGTTGCTAATTGCCAAGCGACTGCCGGAAGGTCACGGGCGAAGAAGGGAAGAAACCAGTCTGCTTATATACACACATGCAGTTCCGCGATTACGATTAAAATTCGTCATGCTGTCAAACTGCGTGGTGTGAGAAGTTACTATTCTCACAAAGGTAACCCATTTTACCTCAGCTGAAGAGGTTCAGGCAAAAACGGAGAATCTCCTGAAGAGCCTTTTAAAAACCTCGTTAAAACTGTTAAACAGAACTGTTACCAGCAATGGCAGCACCGACTGCAGAAGTGTGTGAATGCTGAAGGGAATTACTCTGAAGGTGATAATGTCATGGAGAACTGATTCTGTAAGTATAATGATTTATTGAACTAGTCTCGTTTTTTGGTGTCACACTGTAAGGATCTTAAGTTTTACTTACGTTTATTTTATTTTAAATCTTTACTATCACTTCTTATTTTCTACTTCCGACCAGAATTAAAAGCGTTAACTTATTTATGCAAAATTTGTCTGGCGAACGCCAAGTACTTAAGTTGTAGCTTTTTGCCAAGCGAGAGAGAGGAAGGAGTTAGTCGAAGCAGGCCGCTTGCCTTAGAAGTTTTACTCGGTTGCTGTTTGCCTTCCAGGCCAGAGGTTTAATCCTCTTGATAATTTAAACGTATTGTAGTGTTAACAGTTCTCTGTACTACATACGGCTTCTGTGAATAAGGCCAATCTTCCACGTTTATTATTTCAAAGTTAAGTTAGAGTTTAGTTATATTTTTATATCTTACGTTTAGACCACAAGTAGTGGGTCTTTGGTATTCCAAGTGCGGAAAATTTTGTAAAGAGAGAAAAATAAAGGGTTTTGTATACCCTTCTTGTGTATCTTGTCTACTTCCCACAGTTATTGAACATAGCTTTAGTAAGCTCCCTGTTCCGAGTCAGGTCCTTGCATGTTCCCAAAGAAAGTAAGGCGGAACATTGAACCTGATAACACCTTGTATGCTTATAGTACTTTCATTTCAAGTAAGTATTTTGTAGACGTTATTTAAACTTAATGTTTGTGTGTTGGTATATATTTAATAATTAAATTCGTATTGTTCCTGTTTAAATCAAATATTTTATGTGGCATATAGCAACAACGTAAAAATCTATCTCTTCAATTACATAGTAGTTATTTCTGTTATCATTTCGTAGTCAAAGATTACTTTCTTTTTCTCTCTTCCAAGGGGAAATGTTAATAGGAAAACTCAGCGTTCCTCTGAATTATTAATATAAATCCCAAGCCACGACAATTTTGCAAAATTTCATGATTTATCTCGGGGCTGTTAAGCGAATTATGCCATTTTTCCCGTAATGTCATAACTACCCTAGTTATAACTAAAACGTTTACATAAATAATATTTAATAATTCTGAAAAAGAAAAATGGTATTGTTCCCCGTCACTTAAATACTGGATAAAAAAAAACTTAATCGCCAGAAACAATAAATGTCATCTCGAGAGACTCAGCGCTATCATTAATTTTTATTCATGACAACCCTAAATTTCTTTTTATTTGAGTCTTTTCACTGAGTGGTGATTGCGAGCTCAATGAATACTGGTGTCTTAATTAAAATAAATTATGCCGCGCAAAATGTTAACAATTTAAGTAATTAAACTAGCTTGTTTTATTATTCATAACGTTACTAAATGAAAACACTTAAATAGCTGAATCACTTACGCAGACATTTATTATGTATGCGCGTTAATGATCTTCGGGTGTTCGGTTTTGGTGTTTTCATGCAAAGACAATGATTTGCCGGAAAGAATACGATTAGGTAAGTAATATGTTGCAACTTTTTTAAAATTCTTTATCATGTATAGTCTTTTATTCTTCATAAAATTATTATAACTGTCAAATAGTTATTAGTCTCAATGCTTAGATGGTTTATGTTATACTCATCGTTACAAAATTTTGCAAAGTAAATGATGTGTATTACATTTCTATATAAAAGGCTTTATATAAGGCATTTCGTCAATGAATGCACGCTTACCCGGAGTACAAGAGAGAAATATAAAAATAATTTTAAGAGAGATTTTAAAAGTAAATTTTGCACAGACAATTTTAAAACTTTTGCATAGACAATAATGAAAACTATAAATACGAACAAAGATATAACTGGAATTCGGCACTCAGACTGAGATTTTGGAACCCCCCCCCTTTTTTTTTTTTTTTTTTTTTTTTTTTTTTTTTTTTTTTTTGCTTATATTGTTTCTTCTGGCCAGTCCCGTTTTTGATCATACGACCGGCTTGTGCTGGCTAGGAGGATCAGGGCTGTGCCCTTATAACGATAGGGCATTTTATTTCTGAATGTGCTTTGCAAAAAGGAAAAGAAGTAGGGATTTGTAGGGCTTGTGCCTGTAACTAAGTGTAACTTTTGACAAATCCTTGAATAGACGTATAAGCGAAATATCGGTATGTCTAAGATAAAACGGAGCATAAGAAGAGTGTAAAAGGCTCTTTTAATTCGAAACTGAAGATAATTCGGAAGTCAAGATAGGCACGGCTAATCTTTGGAATATGGTAACAGGTAGTTTGGCGACATTTTGGTAAGGCGATAAAGGTTACTAGCTAGGAATTTAGCAGTGTACATGGATAAAGTCAAGAGTGTGCGCAATGCCATTTTTGTGCAATTCTGAGATGTTTTTTTAAGTGATAATAGGTCGACGTGTACATGGATGATACCGTGTATGTGCAATTCTTGAAAAACGCGGCAAGCAGTGGGCGATTCTACAGTTTCTCCCAATTTCGCACCTAATCTTCGTCATGATTAAGCATTTTTGTTCCATAAAAGTTCTAGTATAAGCGTAATTCGGCTAGCAGATTGTTGGAAAAAAATGTTGAGTTAAAAAAAAAAAAAATTTCTTTACGTCGTGAAAACAAAATGGCGTCCAAAACAAAAACTAGCAGGTTGCTGTAGCAGGGTTGGTCGCCAAATTTTCGCCAAAAAATCGCCACGTTACCATAATCCAAAGATTAACCGAAGGCACTTTTTGTGCTTATAAAACAGCCAGCACTTTTGGCGTAATTCACAATGATAGAAATTGAAATTAAAACTAAGTCGCAAGTTAGTCAAAGGCTACTCAGAAATGATTAACACACAAGTTGGATGGGGACAACACTCTGATGAAACAGTCTAAAAGTTCCCTTTGAAGACTGCTTTTTTCTACCTTATTTGA